TGGCAGTAAACTGTTACTCACCACAGGGAAGCTGGAAACCAGATGCCAATTCTGTTTTACTGCTCAGAGGGGTGATGAACAATTTCAGAGCATTCTTAAGACCATGCCTTCATGGAGCGTGATCTGACTATAGTGGGATGCCATGGATGCTGGGGAGGCAGGAGGACCAGCAGCAGTAGAATCACAAACCTGTGTTTCATTCTCCCTTGTAAGGATTCCAGCCAAATGCAATAGCAGATGCTTTTTGGTTTCTAGTGGAGCTATCGGAGTTAAATTCTTGGGCATAGGAGTCAAACTCCTCTGGTTTCAGCAGGCCTGCGTTTAAGCAGCTGAAAGTAAAACCTGGCCCATCTTTTTGAGGGAGAAAGCTATTCATTCAAGAGGATTTATTGGAAGGGGACAGGAACACCAAAACGCATCTCAGTGCTTCAAGGAAAAGAACAGAAAATAGCCACAGACCATAGGCAAATGGAGACTGATGGAAAGGAAAGGTTAGTAATTCTTGCCAATTAATTCTGCTGCACACAGAGCCTCCTCCTTGCTAAGGTGTTAAGAGCCGTGGGAGACGAACAGTTAATGTTACAGCTTGGTCTCTCCTGCCGCTTACCATGCACATATTCGGAAAAGCTCCGAGGCAGTTCAAATTTTATTAACTATGGGCTAACCCCCTGGGGAGAGAACATGCTCTCTGGATGCACTTCTGAAGAAGGTGGCTTTGAGGGAAACTGCAGACAACAATCCCTGAGGCAATTTGTTCCTTTTTCAAGTTGGTTTTTTTGTTTGTTTGTTTTGGTTTTGGTTGGTTGGGTTTTTTTGGTTTGTTTTTTTTAAAATTGCTGAAACAGGAGACGTAGCTGAACCCAGCCATGAAGCGCAGAGGCAGCTGTAGCAGCAGCAAATGGTTTTTTTTTTTTTTTTTTTTCTTTTCTGTAGAAACCTGTAACTAAATTCTCTAGAGAATTCTCTCGTGGGGGAAAAAGCTAAAAAGCTCCTTGTTTTAAAGCCTCACGCTCTCGCCCTCCTCACAGAAGCAACTTTGAAACGCGGACTGGCCTCTCGTTAACCCTTTCTTGCGCTTGGCTGCCGTGCCTGCGTGTCACAAGCTGTGCCCTGGAGAGGGGAAGGCTTTGCTCTGCTCATGAATTCAGAGCTCCAGGCACAGCGCAAACAAGAGACAAAGACAAACCAGCAGGACTTAAGCGGCGCCGAGCGATCTCTACCAACCGTCCTTCCAGATGCTTCCGATCGGCCGCGGCTCGACGGAGCGGCCCGCCGAGGAGTCGCGCCAATTCGGCCCGACCTTTGGGCTCCCCGAAAGGGACGAGCTGGGTAACCCAGCGGGCGGTAAGAGAGATGGGGAGGGAGAACGAGAGGCAGGCGGCCGGCTGGCCCGAAAGCCGGCCGGCTTCTCTGCGAGCGCCGGGAAGGCAACGACCTGTCAAGAGGTTGCTGGCGGGAGCTGGGCCGCGGCCCCCGGGGTTCGTCCGTTTTGGGGGCCTTACCGTGGCATCTTCGCCGGCGCAGTGGCTGATCACGCGGTGACCCCCCGGGTGCCTGTGGGCCCACTGGGTGACATTATAAACCTTGCGCTCTATCACCAGCCACTTGTCCGTCCGCCGGTTGTGCTTCTGGATCTCCTCCCAGGTGTAGGAGCGGGTTTGCGCCTCCGCCTCCCCCGACTCCCCTCCTTTCTCACCCCCTTTCCCCATGGGGCCGCCGGCTGCTTCGTCTTCTCGGGGTCCGGGGACACACACACACACACAACCCGCCCCCGCGCTTCTCGGGGCCGTGCCGGAGGGGAAGAGCTTTCCCTGCGTGACTTAGCTGATCCCCCGCTCTCTCCCTCGCCCCTGGCTCATGTCCCCCCCCTCTTTGTCCCCGGCTGCCTGGGAGCTCGCCCCCCGAGGCCGCTCTCCCCGCACTGAGCCGCTCGCTCCTCACACATAACCCCGCTCTCTGGGAAGCTCGGCCCCTTCCACCGCCCCCCCCCA